ACAATGATTGGAGGTATTTTGAACTATGCTAAAGGTGGAAGAGACTAAATTTGCCTGGGTCTCTGAATGACTGCATGGAAGACTATCACCAACCTGAACACTCATTTAAGACTGTTGTATGAGCCAAAAACATGTGAAACAAAACATGTTTTTTTTTGTTCTCTATCAGTGGTCGGCAAACTCAGTCAACAGAGCCAAATACCAACAGTACAACGATTTAAATTTCTTTTGAGAGCCAAATTTTTTAAACTTAAACTTCTTCTAATGCCACTTCTTCAAAATAGACTCGCCCAGGCTGTTGTATTTTGTGGAAGAGCCACACTCAAGGGGCCAAAGAGCTGCATTTGGCTCGTGAGCCACAGTTGGCTAAGCACTGCTCTAAACCATTAAAAAGTAGGCCTTTATTTTTATAGTATCCTAACCTTCCCAAACCATTTTATTCAGAGATTTAAAGACTTAATGACTGGCTAACCCAAAAATAAGATAACTGTGTGAGGTTAAGAATTTAGTTCAAAGTTCTAAAAGAAAAGAATACTTTATCTTTAGAACCTCTCTTTGACACCTACTCATTTGGTGAAATCTAGCTTTTCCCGAGTCATTGAAAAAGTCAATGCTGAAATGCAGACATTTCTGAGATGCAAAACCCAAACCCCATCTCACAATGCTATGCAATTTGAATCACTGCTTTCCATGCTTAACCCAGAAGCATGCTCCTCCCCAAACCCTACAGAGAATAAACATCTTGCATTAAAATTTTGTGTCCTGCCAAATTTGATCACATAAAACAGAAATTTTTCTACCAGAAGCAATCCTAAAGGGGAAGTAAAATTATACCTCTATCCTTGGGATTTTTTTGGCTAGACCTAAGTATTAAACTGACATTAGACCAATTAATAGGAGAAAGTAAATACATTTATGAGGATTTTACATGACATGAGAGTCCCCATAATGAACTTAAAACCCAAAGAAATGACAGAACTACATGCTTTTATATTAAGGTGAACAAAAAGAGAGGCTATTTTGGCAAATAACTAAACCATGTAGAGAGGCTAAAGGGAGATAAGAGTGATTTTGAACAAGGCCTGTTTATACAGAATTCTCTTAGCTTCGACTCCCCATTAGATAATGTGCTTTTTCTCCTGGTCTAGGAAGGGCATCTTTCATACAGGAGTTTTAAACCTTCTGTTTTCAGTGTGAGAAGAGGAGATTAGAATGCCCTTCTTGCATCTGTGATTTTTAAGTGCTTTTAGCTCAAAATAATCCTTATGCCAAAATGGCACAATTAGGGGTGGCATAGTCTGCCATCCATCAATTCTTACACAAGGGATCACCCTGATAATCAGGTATTAATAACACTGGCATCGCTGCAAGTTATGTGCATCCAGCTGAAGCATTAAATGGATTTGAAAACAATAAGAAGGAAGGATACACATGGGATTTCCAGCAACCGTTCTATATTTTTTCCCATTTAAAAAGGAGACTGTGTTGGCCCTCACAGTAGTCTGAAATGGTGTAGATATTTTGCCAAAGCTAGTAGCTGAACATATAAAAAAATAATCACACAAGAATAAAAATATTCTACCATGAATACTGTTTTAAAATGACAAACTGGGGATTACTGCAATATAAATGAGAAAAGTTTCTAAAAAGAGTAATCAATTATTCAATTAGTTGTTTCATACTAATAAAATATTGACCAACTACATTAGTTGAAATGGTGCTAACATGATAGGTAAGCCCTTATATTTCTTGCTTACATAATAATTCACTGAGGGCATTCCTCGTTAGGGATTTCTCCTCCAAGTTGTGATTCAGAGGCCTAAGCCCCTTTTACATCATATTCCCATTACTGCCAACATATGCCTCCCAAGGTTTCCTGGGATTTTTCCATTTCACTCATCTGGCCAAGAAATTGTAAGTCCCTAATGTCCTCATTTTATTGGCCAGGACTCAAAGTCACCTGGCTTCATATAGCAAGGGAAGCAGGGAAATATGGTCTAGCTGTATATCTAGGAGGAATAAGAAAAGATTTAGGAGGTATCCAGTAAATCTTTGCACTGTACCTCTCCAAAATTGTTTTAAAAACATCATAATTAGTAAATGATAAATATATGATTGATAAAAAAATAATCATCAACCATATGTTTTAGATAAAATTATGCCTAAACACTTAAATGAAATTCTTTGCATTTATTCAGAAAGCAGTATACTCTGCCAATATGTCATTTATTTATTTTTATAATTTTTGTATACTTTTCCAAAAAAAGTTGATTTCAGAAAGGGAGGAAGAAAAAAAGAGATGATTCAGAAAAAATCATTGATTGGCTGCCTCCTGCATGTACATGGCTTGTGCCCTTGATCGAAATTGAACCCGGGACCCTTCAGTTTACAGGCTGATGGTCTACCTGCTGAGCCAAACTGCTAGGGCTGCCAATATTTAATATGACGTTTTATTACCCCAATTTCTGGGTATCTGATAGTAAACAAAACATGTACTCAAGGAATACTGAATCTATTACAGCAATTATATTGATTCTTTTGTAAAATTCTCTTCATAAACTGCAGAATGAAACAAGACTGCAAAATTACCGCTATGTATCAGAATGACAAATAACCAAGGATAGTCAGGGCACTATCTATAATTATTAGATATGTTCTTCTGGAAGGTAAAAAAAAAAAAATTCTTCCCCATGTGATCATGTGACTACTCTTAATTTTAGCACCAATAATTGGCTAGCTGCTGCTTCTATAAGTTAACAACTTTATTAATAGAATCTATTTGCAAAGAAGGTAAGAAATGGTAAACTACTCATTGAAAAATTATTTTTAAATGGTGGAATTAAATGAAGACAATTTGAAAAAGAAAGCTAAGTGAGAAATGCCCTAATGAGATCAATTACTTTAGCCATAATACCACAATGTTTTAGCTAGGAAAGTGAAGGAGCAAGGAATATTTCTATTAATAAGGAAATGAACTCCAAATGAAAGCCTGAAGATAAGGAACACCATTTTTTGAGTTTATTTAAAGAGAAATTGTTATGCACTACACCACTGTTCTGTTTTTTTGAGGTTTCCAAGGAATAAGTAGATTTTGGATGAGAAGTTTTGGAGAACCAAGAGAGACTTTTATTGGGCTGAAACTGCAAGGGATGTTTGGACCCACCTCAAACAGTAAGAATTTTTTTTTGTGTGTGTGTGAGCATCTACTACATAAGTTGGTGAGAAATAAGAGTTTACATTCATTTTGGTTCTTGAGAAGACCAAAACATACACATTCAAGTACATTCTCTAATAGCAGAAAACTGTATGTTCCACATCAAAAAATTGGAGGCTACCTTGTCAGCACAAAAGGGAGGAATTTGGTAATAATAGACACAATGGAGAAAATGACCTTAAACATAGATTGATTTAAAAAAAAATAATACTATTTTAAATATGCTTTACATCCCAATGGTTTACATGTGCATTACGTACAATTTTTCTGGTAATTATATTACATAATTTTAGTACTTGAATATTGTATGGACAGCTTTTAACCAAAGCAGAAAACTACTGGGTTGAGTGTGGTAAATATTCCCAGGTGGATCACTTACCTCCTCCTTCAATATCTTACCCCCTCATCTAGCTTAATATTTTAAAGTAGTTCTTATAAATTATCAGAGCAATAAAGTCTAAATTCTAGAATATGATAAAGTGTTCTCTTATATAGTATTTTCTTCTAACTTGTTTCTAGATAGACTAACCTACTAAAATATTCTGGAATTCAATACATCTCCCACATTCCTCATTTATACTTTTGTATATGCTGAGTCTTTGAAATGAAACATATTTCCACATTTTTATTGAGTGACTTATCTCTATTTTCCTTCAAGATACAGCTCAGCACTATATTGATCATGTTCACTCACAGTTACTAGTAAGTGTGTCTCCAGCATGCTTCCTTAACTGTGAGCTTCTATTATTGTATTTCCATAATGTATTGTAATTTTCATATAGTCCTTTATTTCCACCCATGGTTGAAAACCTCTGGAATATAATGGCTGGCTGCCTTTTAAAGCTATGGCTAGAATAAGTGAGTAGTGAATATGTAGTATATAGCGGGTCTCTTTCAAATGTCTGTGAGAAAACTAACTCCAGTGGGTTCTAACATACTAAGAAAAGTAGGTTAATGTTTTAAGTTGAAGATAAAAATAAAACAATGAAGAAGGGGCTATTGGGAGAGAATTTGATTTAGATCAGGCCCCAGAGGGAGGTCTTTATCTTGGGATTAGTGTTCTGACAAGAAGAGACAGCAGAGCCCTTGCTCACTTTCTCCCACTTCCACCCTAGTGAGCCCAAGTGAGAAGGCTCCATCTATAAGCCAGGAAGAGAGTCCTCACCAGAATCTGACCATGCTGGCACCCTGACCTCAGACTTCCAGTCTCCAAGACTGTGAGAAAATAAACGTCTACTGTTTAAGACACCCAGTTCATGATATTTTATCATGGCAGCCTGACGGACTAACATGGTGTACAGACAAACCCTGTAGATATAAATAGGTAATAAACATTATACACATACACACATAGTACTCTCTCTGTATGTCTCTTTTTCTCTTTCACTGATTTTTGGCGAAATACCATTTCTGAAACATGCCCAAATTGGGTAATACATTGTGTCTGTCAATAGTAAGGAACTAAATGGCAGCTTCTTACCACTGAGACCATAAGTCAGTTATATTTCAAACTCTCAAACACAATGCTGTGTTTTTCAAAGCTTGCTTTCGTTATTTAGAAAGGATCCATTCTTCATCAAAGCATTAGTAAAACTCATATATTCCAGTAAACTGTTATTTTACCTATATTAACTTTAAAAATAAATATAATGTTATGTTAATTTAGAGAAGCTTAGACTAGAATTGGGAGATCACTTCATTGATAACCTCATATATCACATCAATTTTTAGAGGCCAAAACAAAGCAAAGCCCTTTATTAACTACAAAACCCAATAGGAGTCATACCTGTATTCCTCTTGTGTGAAACGTGGGATTTCTCCGGGATGTAAGACAAGGATTTTCACTACGGCACTGCTGGACATCACAGGCTCACCATCATCAAACGCAATAACCACCAGCTTAAAAAGTAATAAAATTCACGTTAAAGTTATTAACAACAATATACATTCTCATTTTTCCATGTGTGCTTTTAATCCCAAGACTGCCTGATTCTAGGAGGCAGAACACTGAATAGCAAGTAGCAGGCAACATCCTAATGTATGCTTCCTGTATTATTTAATCTGCACAAAATCCCGCCAGGTAGATGTTATTATTTTAATTTGTCAGATGATATAACTCAAATAAATTGAGTTACTAACTCTATGATAAATAAAACTACCAGTAAAACAGTTATGTTATAATATATCTCCCAATGATTAACTCTTTTTTATAATTTTACTGGTGCCTACAGTGAATACATGTCTTTCTAGGCACTAACACATTTAAAAAAGTGTTAATTTTAGTCACATCAATAGCAAAAAATTAATTAGCTTACATATATTAGAGAATTAGTTCTTCCAAAGAGAATTGTCTGCAAGATTATAGGCCAGAAATACTTACTCTGGAGGATAAAATTAGAAATGCTTATACTTTAACACACTTTGAAATACTCTCACTTAAAAACAATTACAAGATATAAAACCAAGTTTACAGCAGAAAATGTTCAAATAATGCAAACTAAAAAAAGCTTAAGTCTTAAGTATAATAGCTGTATGAGGTTATTATTAAAATAACTTTTATGATTTACCATTTTCTTTGATAACCTATATCTAGAAGATTTTTAGTGTTTATTATAAGAAATGCTAAATATACTAAAATTATGTTTTTCCAGAATATAAGTTTGAAAGCTACATATTACTAATCTAAATATATCAAACTAGATCATCAAATCATAACCAAGAGTCATCTGAGAGCCATGATTTAGCTTTAGATTTCAATCTTACAAAGAAAGTAATTATTACAAATACTGATAAAATTATGTGAGACACAGTATTTACTGGTAGTTGCAATGTTAACTGATGAGTATTTGATTGAAAAAAAATGGAGACTATTATGAGAATAATCAAAATGTGTCAGATGCCTTTACTTATCTTAGGGTTTAGACTGGTATATTTTGAATTATATCAGGTAATACTGGGGTGGGCGTTATGTTTTCTGTGTGTAAGGGCTGTAAACCTTTAAGTCAAACAAGCAACTCAGACACAGAGCTGTCTGGTTTCACACAGAAACATGCGCTTTATTACACCACTAACTCTTTGCAGAGCCAAAGGCTTTACTCCGCAGTGAAAAATTTAATTCTAAGTAACTATAGAAAATGGAAACATTCAAACATTCAACAAAATAGATTACTTAGGAGAATAGGGAGGGCTAGTATTATTCCACATTTTCTGGAAGTATAACAATTCATGAGTACATAAACTTGATCCAGCAATTCTGCCTGAAGTTATTTAAGGGATGGGGAAGGGGGGAAGGCAAGTGGCAAATGATAATTGCAAAAGGAGTTTCATGAGAGCAAAGATTAGATAACAAAAAAATTAGAAAAAGCCTAGTTATCCAACAACAAGGTATTAAACAAACGAAGAGAATAGTATATTCATACAATAGAATATTAAAAGGAATTATTTTTAGCCTAGATTTTACCATTTTCATACTCTTAACTGAAACAGATTTTTTTTAAAAGTATCAAGCGCTATATTGAAACTTGTTTTTAAATATGAACTAGCACTATGTAAATTGATGTAAACCTGTTAATTTACTCAGGTTTTCAGCTTGTACTGCCTGGTATGTCTGTGTAAGAACCCAATTTCTGTGTATTGTTACAGTTTCAGGTTATTTATATTTGATGTTTTGTAGAACTCAAATATAACTATACTATACTTAATGAACCAAATAAAATGGCTTCTGAATACTTGTTGTACATGCCTACACAGTATCTATTGCCTTGTTGGGTTTATTCATTGTGTCTTCTGCAGAAATGCTAAATCATTTCCTTTTAAAAAATTAACTTGTGATGGATAGGAAGGTAAAAAGATCTCCACTGTTTGCCATAGGTGAGTACTTTCTAAAATAAAGTTTTTAATGGTGGTGGTGCTTTTAAAAAAAGCAGTATAAATAATATGACCATGTTACTCAAAACATATATTTGTATTTAAATAGAAATATATCATAAGGATAGAGGGTAAAATGGTAAATTCTAGTTATCTCCAAAGTGTGAAATATCAAGTGATTTTTTTCTTTTTATTGAACTGTATTTTCAAAGTGTCAATGCAGTTAAAATGTATTGTTTGTAATTTTAAAATATTAAAAAGAAGAAAAAGAGAAAAAGTATGGTCATCTGTCAAACCAAACTTTCAATAAAAAATTAAGCATCTAATAGACAAGTAAGAAAAACTAACCTTAAAAATGGTCGTAGGTTCTTCATTAAGATTGACTCGAGTGATTACTGTTCCAGAATCTTCTTCTACATCAAAAATACTGGCAGGATAAGGAGACTGGACACCATCTACTCTATACCTCACACGACTTGCAGGTAATCCCTAGAATAAAATTATATATTATTAATTTACAGTCACACAATAAACACAAAGTATAGTGAAAATGTTAAAACCATTTTTAAAAAAGCAAGGCCTTTAAAAGTGAAAAAAATCACATTTCAATTTCCCATAATTCCAGATTCAGAGGTAGCATAATCTTCATTTCATTCCAATAATTCAGTCTGAATTAGTGAAGAGTTTTTAATACATGTCATTTACAATTTTGTAAAATATTAAATTAATGGTTGGATTGGCTATCCTCTCTTCCACTTGTCTTTACTTTTATGAATTTCTACTTACTCCCTAAACACTGTTTATGCTAAATATTCCTTCAAAAAGATTCCTGAGTGCAGTAGTGAAAAAGTGAAACCATCTATCATAAGGAAAATTCTCCCCGCCCCTTTTTTTTTTAGATTGGGTGAATATAAAACATCATCTCTTCCCTACTCCTCAGCTTCGGTGCTTATATCCCATGTTAATTCCTATCATAGGTTAATACATTCTGATATGAAGCTCTCCTTTAAAATAATGATGGGATCCTCTGAATTTTTCTAATAAATAAATCCTCATATTTAATATTGTACTGTATTTTTATGAAACTGTATTTTTCATTCTTTTAGTTAGTGTCAAATAAAGATGAACTTGAACTAGAGCTAGTAATTAGCAACCCTATCCTTTCTGTCTTAAAATCCTCCCATTTTTCTTAGGATTAAACAAATCATCTTGACACTGTCTTTATGCACACCAGACTGAAAACAATCTGCCTCAGGTTTATCTCCCTACCTCCTTACAAAATTGCCTCCTTTGTTTTTTAAAACTTATTTCCCCACTCCTACTTTTGAGCCTAATTCTTCTCTCCAGAACATAAAATCTAATGTGTTCTTACACCATTAGAGTTCTTATACAATCTATAGTGCTCTTACACTATATACTGCACAATGCAATAAATCTGAGTTACACATCATTGAACAAAACTGATTTATTTTTAGTGATTGCAAAAATCATAGATGCATAGATTATTTTCTATATAGTTCAGAGGATTTCTAAGAATTTACTTAACTCAAAATGTGGTTACATTGTTCCCAAGTTTTCAATTTTAAACCCATCAATATATGGTCATAGATATTCATTCATAGCTATTCACATTCATCTCACAGATGCTATGCAATGGTGAGAAACACATGCTTATGTACTATGGGCCTCATATTTGGTCAAGTGGGGAGGACAGAAGGTGTACAGAAAAACACAATTTTCTCATATTTCTGATAAAGCTATCAGAAGCATGGATGTACTAAATGAAGGTGCTAGAACTAGAGCACAGATTTTCAGAGTTATAGTCAAGTGGACTTCATACCTCTCTACATAGACACTTACATAAGAAAATGGGATATGCCTAAAAATAGTTTGATTTGTAGATATTATAGTGGTTGTGTTATATGTTGAATATGATCTGTTATATTATTTGAGTATTAGCATGACAAACTAAAACAATTTATGTGTCAAGATTTGGGACATTTTGTTTTAAACTCAAAGGGACAAAAGTAGGTATGTATCATTATTAAGTGGAATACATGGAAGATGTCTATTTAAACAAAATATCCTGTAAAATTATATAAAATATGTACATACAGGAATTTGCAAAAATAGGTTTACTGTTTTGAAACAGGTTTCAATATGTGACACACGGAGTTTGTTCTTGTATTATAGCATGGTAGTTTCATGAAACTTTATTTCCCAATTTGACTATGTCATGGATGACACCAGAATTACTTCCAGAGTCCAGGCATTGGTATCCTGAAGTTCACAAATGATGAGGCTACAAGCACTGTTCCAGACCAGAGGCAAAGTGAGGCATTTTTGCCATGAAAGCAAGACGGAGGAGGAAATAGTAACCAAAATCCATGTGCCTGACATTCACTGTTTTCATTTTTCATTAAGTACAAGCACCAATCCACTGAGGTGATCTTAATGTTCTTATATGGAAATGAGATTCACAGAAGTTAAGTAACTTCTTTATGTAACTTAAGTATTAAAGGATTATGTGGACAATATCATTTTTCCTAGTTAAACACAAACACCAACACTAGTAACATTAGTCAATAACTTAATGGTACTCTGGGGATGTTTGCCAACCCTAATAGCCCCAAAGAACAACATGATTTATGACATCTATTAAATGAATTAATTAATTTGTTTATGTATTAGGCTTCTTTCCAAATACAATTTGGAATAGTCTGTGACTTATTTAAATATTGTGTGGTCTCCAAAGTGTGAAAGGCATGATTTCAACACTATGATGTCCTTTTATCTACTAAATTAGATATATATAAAACTCAATAATATTAATATGAGCCAAAACTACTGGAAGAGTAATTTATTTAGTACATATGTAGTAATTTGGTGATATACTGAGATGATACTCCCAGCCTGGAAGTTTTTCTAGATATGGGAATATGATGGACAAAAAAAAAAAAAAATTAAAAAATCCTGTAACAATGTTGCTTATGTTAGTTTTTTTTTAAACTAAAGGTAACATATTTCTTTACAATAACAAGGCATATGTAACTAATATAGCTGAATAAATATAAACTTATATGAAGAAAATATAACCTTGAGATTTCAAATATTTTCTTTATTAGTTAGTACATTTTTACTTTTAATTTCCATTCTTTTTAGTGTCAAACACAGTATGTTTTGACTTAATGATGGTGAGAATGTAGTTAATTACTACAGAAGGTAATTGCAGATCTGTATGAAAGATGTTCTAAACCTGCAAACATAAGGAATTTCAATGAGACTATAATGGACTAAAATAATAAATGCTTATTATCAGGGGATATCTGGATTTAGTCATTTTTCTTAAATACATAATTACCAAGAAATTGCTCAGACCCATGTAATTTTCTTCATAATAATGGCAATCGCATTTTGTCAGGAAATACTAACCCTATTATTATCGTTAACAAACATTAGGTAATTTGTTTTCAAGTACACAAAGAGTTCTCTCTCTGACATGGTTCACAAAATTGTTTCTTCCAATGTCTTTGAAATCAACTAATCTGATGTATTCTGTAATAATACAATTTAGCATCAGGGAGTACTATAAAGTGGTTTGATTCGTTGTTGTTGTTCACTCATTATGACAGTCATTTAAAAAAAATTCTAGTGCATTTAACTAGATGTTAAGGTATACCTAAGAATAGAAGAAACTGCAACAAAACTCTCCATATAACCACTGAGAAGATCATGTACTTTTCTTCCTTCCTCTCCCCAATCCTGCTTTTAAACACCTGAAGTGACCACTATGCTTTGATAACACAGTGAGTTGAGCTCTTAAAGGCAAGGTACTTATGACAAATATCATTGACTTAACATAATGTCTGCATATAGTTCAATTTCTACAGATACTGTAGTCACACAGCTACTAAAATTTTTAAGACATATTTGCTTCAAGATTATTTACCACTAATTCTTTTGGGAAATGTTTTGTTTTTTTCCCCCAAAGGTAAGCATAAGTCAATCCCCTAAAGACATCAAATCATATATTTATTTTAACATTCCTTCTTTTGGATACATTTTTTAAATGTGTAAGGTAATAGTGGGGGCATATTTAACTTCCTTTAAATTAGATTTTACTAAAAATCTCTGTACCTGTGGTCCAAACAAAATAAAATTTCCTTTACACAAACCAACTTCCAAAACCAAGGGAACTTAAAAATAAAGATGAACTTGAACTAGAGCTAGTAATTAGCAACCCTATCCTTTCTGTCTTAAAATCCTCCCATTTTTCTTAGGATAAAACAAAACATCTTGACACTGTCTTTATGAATACAATCTGCCTCAGGTTTATCTCCCTGCCTCCTTACAAAATTGCCTCCTTTGTTTTTTAAAACTTTTTATTTTCCTCCTCCTTTTGAGCCTAATTCTTCTGTCCAGAACCATCCACACAAAAATCAGACTCATCTCGTATGGTTTTACAGCACCCTAAACATTTATTCCTTAAAGATTTTCTAGTTGTCATTTTTATTTACTTGATTAATTTGTGATTAACTTCTATATCTTTATGTTTGAAATTCTAAGGCTAGGAAATGTGAAAACTTCAATCCTTAACACTTATTGTAGTGTCCTTAAATATTGCGGGGTTTTTATTTTGTTTGGACCACATGTACAGAGACTTAAATAAAATATAACCAATAATTTATGGAATATTTTCATCAATGGATCTGCTAGGCATATTTATTTCTCATTTCGTTATGTCAATTTATCCTCACATCTTGTTCCTACTTAGTATAACCTCCTCTTTTTCAAAAATGGCAACCATTTTAATGCATCTTAAGAGTAGCTGATTGTTCAGCAAATATTCCTTTTTATTTTTTTTAACTCTACTTATTGCCCTACTGACTTTGGGTGTGGCCTCATGACTTGCTTTGGTCAATGGAAGCTGAGGGACTGTGACACACAGCCAAGTTACATGGGATCATGCGGTTAAGCAAGTTCTTTTGTGATCCTGTCCTTCACTCTGTGAAGAGCAGGTGGCTCAGTAAAGGATTCCCAAGGAAAGAAGCACGTGAGATTGACAGGAACTCAACCTTCAGTCGGAATCCAAGACCAGCCAACCCAGCTGCTTCAAATAATATACTTTTTTTTTTTTTATAATGAACTAGTAATATTTTGGTATTCTTTACTCTGCCGCATGTGGGTGGGTAAATCTAACTGGTACTACTGTGTGCATTTTTGCTTTTTTTCTAACTTTATGTAACGGTATTTTTTTTATTTTATTTTATTTTTACTATTCTTAGATTGCAATCTTGTTATGTGTCCATAAAACCCTGCTATACTAGAAATGCACAGGTTACTTCACTGTTAATAAAGATCCCAGGTATATGGGAATCCTTTTGATGTCAGAGTCCATCTGTAACTATTAATGTTCCTGTCACTGAAATTTCCTTGAATGCTTTGAAATCTGGGTCCCAAAAAAATATCTTCACTCCCATGTTCATTGA